CAACATTTTCACCAATTTTAACCTATACTAAGACGTATCTATAGAAAGTTGGGGGCGGGCTAAACTTACGAAGATATGTTTAGTGTCTATACTAAGTATATATTTGGAAAAAAGCCCCCCTAGCCCCCCCCCCCCGGTTCCGACGCCTATGCTATATACAAGACTTAATATTTCATATATACTAGATGTACCTTATGTCGTCCATCTGAAAGTGGGAGCTAGCATTTTCTACATTTTGCCATCTCTTGAAACATCTGAATTTCAACATCTTATTTAGTGAAATTACAAATAAGAAGCAACAACAGGTCTAAAGTGTTTCTTGTAAAACATTTCCAACTTTGGCAGCAAACTAAAATAATCATCATCATACTGAATTTTCAGAATCAATATATCACAGACAAAATGACACATTTTTCTTTTGGAAAGAAAAAGCTGGCCTTGCACTTGATCTAACTCACTAAGGAATGGGAATTTCTTCCCAGGTTTCAGTTCCTCAATTCTACCAGAATAAGGACATTTAACTTCAATAATGGCATCACTGTCTATTAACCCATCTGGTGTAGCACCAAGAAATGGAAAATCTGTAGATACAAATGGTCCGAATATTTTAACTTTGAGACCAAAAAATTCCTCGAATCAATATAAAGCTTTTTTTTTTCATATTGTCTACCAAGCATGATAGGTGAAGTAGAAATCAAATTTCTTAGATGTAAGCTTAAACAAAGTTTCCGTGTATCTCTGCGGCAAGTCATTTTTGCAATGTCTCCAAATCTGGATGCTGTTATCTTCCACTTTCTCTTATCAAACCATTGTTTACTTTTAGCTTGTAGCCTTGTAGTTTTCTCTACAGTCTCTGCTTTTTCTAGAGTTACCTTAAAAGATATGTAAACAATAATTTTACTCACGATCAATGAGCAATATTGAAATAAAGGTCTTCAATTAAAAAACAATACTTACACACAGTGCTCTGTCTACAATATATTCTGTGAAGGGGAGTTGAAGGTAGTCATGATCTCTACTTGCAACCTGAAATTAATTATAGTTATTTATTTATGACAATTCCTAATATAGGCAATATTACTGGGGGGGGGGGGGGGTGTCACACCCCGGTGAAATGAAAATAGTTATGCCATAGTTGAATATGGTAGCTCGCATCAATATCGGTGAATGAATTTGGTTTATAAATCTTCTTTACGTTTCTTTGAAACTGGTTTAAGCACAGAATGTGATGGACCAACAGACAAACAAGATAAACACTATATGCCCCTGCCATATTCATTGTGGGGCATAAAAATACCAAGAAATGAAAAGTTCTTTAAAAGTAGACTTGTAGAAGGTGTTCAATATCTCAAAGTTATGTCCATGGAGGAGGCAGCACAATAGTTCACCATGCAGTTGTAAACATAACTTGATTACCCAGTGGAATTTCTTTTGTACTTTTCTTTTCTTGGGTCCTCAAGCATGTCCTCCGAGATTTTTCTTTTCCAATGGATTATGTCCGCAATAAGAGGCTTACCTGAATGTAAAAAAAATTAATAGTTTTAAATAAATTAAAATTTTTAGAGTCATTTAGAAATTCTGAAATTTTTAGCCCTGAAATCTATAAGCAGAAATACATTTTAAAAAATAAATGCTCAGTTATCTCTTTTGTCTGTTGTTTGATAGAATGTTTTCATTATTATACAAACTTTTATACATTTTCTTCGGTACATGGAAATTTTGTAAATTTTCTGTACACCTTTTCATCACAGAAATCTCCCCCTTTTCGATGAATGCTGCCACCATCAACAAAACTGCCCCAATATGCTTGCATGTCCCATGTGGACCTTTCCCAGCTGGGCACTCACAATGTGAATTTAAGGGTTCCCCATGGGTTCTTCCAAGCCTTATTTTAAAATTATATGAAACCTGGAAGACAAAATACAAGTGTTAAAAAAATACAAATAAATCACTATTTTAAGACGATAGGTATAGGTAACATTCAGAGATTCTTCAAAAATGTTATTGCATGTATAAAACATAAATTTTATATCATTTACGAGTTTTACATTATTGCCTGACGCCACGGCGTCAGGCTGTATAAGGATTGATAATTGCTTGATCCGAAACTAATAGATCATACCCAGAGAGCTAGATTTTGTGCAAGCTGATTTACATTGGAAATCTTTTACCTGCTGTTTGAAAGAAACTTTTATTCAGGGAAACAATGAGTTTACTGATGCCAAATAATGCAGTATTTACTTTGTTTACTCTGTTTGCATGAAACAGATTATTCCATGTGATTTACCGTTTCAACGTGTCTGTGTATCTTTTTTTCTGCATTTCTATACTAATGGATCAGTCCATTTATGTTCTAAAAAGGGGTGAATCGCCAAATGTCACGAGTAAGCGATCTTCGCGCCTTTTCTTAGGATTGTTGTATTGTATGAATGGGGATGCTAACTTCTATGAAATTAATTGAAGTTTGTTATTGTAACCTTCATCATCCTATGTTTTAGAAATTCTATCTACAACCTGTATCTTATTCCTTAAAACAACATATGAATCGTATGTTTCAGAATATGGACAAACGAAATGATTTCTCTAATTTGTTTACCCTCTGTTGGTTTATTCCATATTTTAATGGACTAGTCCAATCACCACAAACGATCGACGCAGTTCAACCAGGTTCTAGACGATTTGACGAAAGAAATTTCCACAAAGGCCTAAATGTTGGTTTTGCCTATTTCATACTCAAAAAATTATAGTGCCCACGTTTCAAAATCAATGAACACAAATTACTACTGTTTACTTAATCGGAGAAACTGCTTTCCTACAACATATGTAATTATATCCATTCTCTAAAATGTTCATGATGAATGATTTGACAACAGATTTAAAAAAGGGTGTAGTTTTAAATTTAGATCCAGGGGTAGATCAATCTACTTGCAGAAAAGTCAATCGCATCATCTCGGGTCTTTTCGTCAGAGGTCAAAAAACATACTCGAAAGTATCGACATCATCGGATGTTAAAAATTTAAATACGTTTCCTGTTCATAGTATAAAACGGAGTTAGAAGTTATTTTAGATAATATCATTACATTGAATAAAGGTAACTCCATATTCCACAGAAAAAAGGTCTATATACATCATCCATCCTTTTATTTCGAAGTTTCTGAGAGGAGGGGGGGTGTCATGGTGTATAAATTAACAAAACATTTGTGGTCTCCTTCCCTAGATGATGCCCGAGGAGTGGGACCGAGGAGTTGCGATTGGCAGAAAACCCACATACATTAACCATTCTGCTAACAACTCTTCAGAATGTACAGGGGCGTAGCAACAGGGGGGGGGGTGTCCCCCCCTTTTTTCCCAACTTTACTTATACTATAGGAAATCTGAATTTTTTTTTGCTTGTCAACTTTTTCAGGTAATTAAAAAAAAAATTGTCACTGCCCCCCCCCCCACTTTCAAAATCGATGCTACGCCACTCATGCAGCAAAGACATCGTTCTTTTACAAGTTAAATAATTAAATATTTTACAAGGTTCTCAAACAAAAAGACAGCACAAAAAGTATTGCTCAAAAGGTTTATCACTTCTCTCACAGATATTGATTGATTACGTCAGGCAAGCTTTTTGAAAAGCTGTTACTTGGCATAACTAAATATGAATGGTTCAGACTATTTTCACTCTTCCTATACTGAGAAAGAGACTAAATCATTGTAATAGTAATTAAATACTGATCATATCTGAAGTAGCCAATTCATGAAAAAAAGTAGAACCTTTTGTTTCATAGCTGCACCAACTATCCCAGACAGGTACGCATTACCGGAAACACACATACTGCAGGCTAAAATTAATTCTGTTACCATTCAAAAGATATTTTCCTTTCTCCAGGGCTTTGATATCGGATGTCATTTGTTTATCTCCTAATGAGTAAAAAAAATCATATACATTTTTTTAACATTGGTTATAAAAAAAACCTTAACTGTGTTTCACCTACAATGATGTTATTAAATTTTACACTGACCTGCCATTCTGTACAAAAAATAATTCTCGATCTGGGTATCAGATAACTTGGGTAGCAAATAGACCTTTTTCATAGACATTCTATCCGGTACGTGTAGTATCTATCGATGTTAGTAATCCGGAAATATTATTATGTGTACATGTTTGGTTCTACTATTATATTTATGTTGACCGGAAGTAATGTAATAAAAATGAGTCCGTGCATTGGAACCATGTGGTTGTTCTTTTCTTCAATGAGAATTATGGCTATCCGCTGAGAGGCCAACATTACAATTGGCGACGAGGATAAATTAAATTTGAAACGAACTGTAAGTAAACGAATATGGCGTCATTTTTAAGTGACTTACCAGCAGTGTAAAGTTTTGATGTTCACGGTGATTCTACAACGATAAGCACACGTTGGCAAAAGTGGCTTTGTTCATTTGAAATTTATTGCACCGGTAAAGGGGTAACAGATAATGAACAGAGAAGGGCTTTACTTTTACACTGTGGCGGCGTAGAACTACAAGATGTATATTTTACGTTTGAGACTGTAGAACCAGGTGGAGACGAGACTGTGTATTCAGTTATTAAGAAACAGTTCGATGATTACTTCGTTCCTCAGGAAAACGTACCTTATGAGAGACATTTATTTAGAAATATGGTACAGAAGTCGGACGAAACTGTCGACCAATTTATTACACGTCTACGGCAGCGAGTAGAGTTCTGTAAATTTGGACAACAATGGGGGAGAGCAAATCAGGGAACAAGTAATAGAGAAATGTACTTCTCATCACCTCAAAAGGAAACTTCTTGAAAAGGGGGAAGGACTTGACATTAGAACAGTTAAGAACAATTTCGAGAGCCTTTGAGTCGAGTGAGAAGCAGGCCAAGTTTATCGAGTTTATGAGTAGTGACAAAGTAGACTCAAGTGTGAATTATGTAGTTAAATCTAGAAACTCGAAACAGCGAAGGCAGAGTCAGCATATGTCAGAGAGAAGATGTTACAGATGTGATGAAACCGGTCATGTTTCGAAAAGTGAGAATTGTCCAGCAAGGAAAGCGGAATGTTACAAGTGTCGTAAAAAAAGGTCACTATGCTAAATGTTGCAAGACTAAACAAAAGTCAGAAAAACGTGGGAACTTTCAGAAACATTTGCCAAACAAGAACAAAGTGAACTTAGTGGACTCACATGATGAACACTTTGCATTTATTGTAAATGCCGAGAAACAATCATGTATTTCTGTAACAATAGGAGGTGTGCAGACGGACATGATAATAGATTCAGGAGCAACCTGTAACCTGATCAGTGGACTCGAATGGGAAAGACTGAAGAGCTCCAAAGTGAAGTGTGACTCGCGCAAGTGTACAAAGAAACTGTTTGCATATGGCAGTAAGACTCCCTTGAATGTTGCAGGAAGTTTCACAGCAGAAATTTCAGTTGGCAAACCTACACATGTGGCTGAATTCGTTGTTGTAGAAGGTGGTGTACAAAATCTTCTGGCCTGGGTAAAGACACTGCGTTAAAATTGAACGTGCTCAGACTAGGACCCGAACTGTCAGAATATGTCAACAGTATATCAAGACAAGACTTGTTACACCAGTTTCGTGATGTATTCAGTGGACTAGGGAAGCTTAAGAATTTTCAGTTGGAGATTCCCATTGACAAAACAGTGAAACCTGTGGCTCAGAGTGTTAGACCAGTACCATTTAGTATGAGAGAGAAAATCAACAAGAAACTTCAGGAGTTATTAGACATGGACATAATAGAGAAAGCCGAAGGACCTACTCCATTGGTCAGCCCAATAGTCGTGGCGCCGAAACCAAATGGTGATATCAGACTTTGTGTTGACATGCGACAGGCGAACCAAGCTATAATTCGGGAACGTCATCCAATACCAGCAGTGGATTAAATTCTCCAGAACCTGAATCGGAGTTGTATTTTTAGTAAACTAGATTTGAAACTGGCATTCCACCAAATAGAGTTAAATGAACAATCGAGGAGCATCACAACATTTGACTGAAGAGCTCCAAAGTGAAGTGTGACTCGCACAAGTGTACAAAGAAACTGTTTGCATATGGCAGTAAAAATCCCTTGAATGTTGCAGGAAGTTTCACAGCAGAAATTTCAGTTGGCAAAACTACACATGTGGCTGAATTCGTTGTTGTAGAAGGTGGTGTACAAAATCTTCTGGGTAAAGACACTGCGTTAAAATTGAACATGCTCAGACTAGGACCCGAACTGTCAGAATATGTCAACAGTATATCAAGACAAGACTTGTTACACCAGTTTCGTGATGTATTCAGTGGACTAGGGAAGCTTAAGAATTTTCAGTTGGAGATTCCCATTGACAAAACAGTGAAACCTGTGGCTCAGAGAGTTAGACCAGTACCATTTAGTATGAGAGAGAAAATCAACAAGAAACTTCAGGAGTTTTTAGACATGGCCATAATAGAGAAAGCCGAAGGACCTACTCCATGGGTCAGCCCAATAATCGTGGCGCCGAAACCAAATGGTGATATCAGACTTTGTGTTGACATGCGACAGGCGAACCAAGCTATAATTCGGGAACGTCATCCAATACCAGCAGTGGATGAAATTCTCCAGAACCTGAATCGGAGTTGTATTTTTAGTAAACTAGATTTGAAACTGGCATTCCACCAAATAGAGTAAAATGAACAATCGAGGAGCATCACATTATTTGTGACTCATAAAGGACTCTTTCGATATAAGCGCCTCATGTTTGGAGTCAGTTGTGCGCCTGAGATGTACCAACGTATTATATCTCAAGCTCTTCAAGGATGTCCTGGTGTCCGAAATATTTTTGACGACATTATTGTTCACGGGGAAAATCAATTAGAACATGACAGGAACCTGAAAGGACTGTTACAAAGACTCAAAGAAAAAGGCCTTACCCTTAACCTCGATAAGTGTCAGTTTGATCTATCCGAAATTGATTTTATGGGTCATCTGCTGTCCGCGAGAGGAATCGGTCCTGACAAATCCAAGATTGAAGCCGTTATCAAAGCTAGACGTCCAGAAACAGTATCTGAGATGAGAAGCTTTCTTGGGTTAGTGAACTTTTGTGGAAGTTCACACCTGACCTTGCTACTTTATCCGAACCACTGAGAAAACTAACGAGACAGAATGTGAGATTTTCATGGGGACAGGATCAAGAGAAATCGTTCAAGAAATTGAAAGAAAAGTTAAACAGACTGATACTGATGATTTCGTGAAACTGATAACTTTACATTCTGTTCCAAATGCTATGTCCATTAAACAGATAGAAGCAGAATCCGCAAGTGATCAAGTTCTTAAAAGTGTTCGCAATAGTATTCGAACAGGGACGTGGCCAAAAGGTGAGAACAAAGCATATATGATTGTGAAAAATGAACTATCAGTTATTGGAAAACTTGTGCTTAGAGGAACTCGAATTGGTATGCCCCAAACACTGCAAAACACAACACTGAAAATTGCTCATGAAGGTCATCCCGGAATCGTGGTCATGAAACGTCATTTACGTACAAAGGTATGGTGGCCAGGAATGGATCGAGATGCTCAGGATGTGTGTAAAAGATGTCATGCATGTCAAGTTGTAAGTCAGACGTCCAATCCAGAACCTGTGAAGAGTACGGAACTTCCAAAAGGACCATGGCAGTTGATAGGAGCTGATCTAATGGGACCTCTACCCTCAGGAGATAACTTATTCGTAGTAGTGGATTATTATAGCAGATACGTGGAAGTGGAAATCATGAGGAAAACGACGACAGATAGGATAATAAGAAGTCTTCGCAGAATGTTTCAGACGCATGGTTTAACTCTACAAATAGTAACCGATAATGGTCCTCAATTCACAAGAGGTGAATTTAAGGATTTCATGGAGCAACAGAACATAGAACATCGACGAGTGACTCCACTGTGGCCTCAAGCCAATGGTGAGGTGGAAAGACAGAACAGATCGATTCTTAAACGTCTTAAAATTGCTCAAGTAGAAAAGAGGAATTGGAGGGATGAGCTGTCTGACTATTTGACCATGTACAGAACAACGCCTCATTCTTCAACAGGAGTCAGTCCATCGGAGTTGCTATTCAAACGGAAAATCCGGACGAGATTACCAATCTTGGACACTACATTTTATGATCCAGATGACATGGACCAGGAAATTCGTGACCGAGATGCGGAGAAGAAAGGAATTGCAAAGAGCCATGCAGATGAAAAGTATCATGCAAAGGAAAGTGATCTCGGAAAAGGTGACAAAGTTCTTCTGAAGCAGCCGATAGAAAACAAACTGTCATCAAACTTCGAATCGGAACCGTACGAAGTTGTATCCAAGAATGGAAACAGTGTAGTAGTGCAGAAAAACGGCGCAAGTTATAAACGCAACATTACTCATGTGAAAAAGTACAATGAACCAATTTATGATGATTCTGAAGAGCCGATTGATGTGAATGTTGAATCGCGAGAAACCGGCAATAGTGAGAGTGTACCCGATATGTCAGTGAATTCGCGTCCTGTTAGGATTCGCAAGATTCCAGGGAAATTCGATGATTTTGTGATGACATAGTGATTAGTGTAAATCATCATCACAAAAAGTGAAAAAGTGGAAAAAGCGGGTATATACCTAAATCTTTGAATCAATATGAATTTGTGAATGTGTTATGTAATTTTATGTTTGACATGAGTGGTTACTTAAATGTCATGTATTTTGTGGGGAATTGTATTGTATATTGTTGACTGTACTGTGTGTATAAATGTTATAATATGTGAAAAACAATCCAATGACACTTTTGACTCTATATAATTATAAGTTTATATAATGTTTCAAATAATTTATTCAAGTAAACTGTTATAGATAATTTTATTCTGAAAAGGGGAGGAATGTAGTATCTATCGATGTTAGTATTCCGGAAATATCATTATGTGTTCATGTTTGGTTCTACTATTATATTTATATTGACCGGACGTGTTGTAATAAAAAGTCCGTGCATTGGAACCATGTGGTTGTTCTTTTCTTCAATGAGAATTATGGTTATCCGCTGAGAGGCCAACATTACAGAACGGTTTTAACCTTTTTACAAAGTCACGTGATACCCGACACAGCGTCTTTAGATACAATGGTGACTACACCGTTTTCAGCGAATAAAGTTGACGAGTTACAGATGTTCTTCAAAGAAAGGGTATTTCTGTTTCAAAATCGAAACGTATTGATTTCCTGGCAGAAAAGGGTATCATAGACCGATAATAATGAAACTCAGGAACAACTCCTCCAAAGCAAGAGTTATGAGACACCGTTCAACTCTGAAGAAAAATACTGAAAACGAAATCAGGCTTAGTGACGATGTGACATTGCTCAACGGTAAGCTGATTAATGAACTGTTGGTAAAAGAGCATGTAAAAGCAGCCTGGTATTTTAATGGCCATGTGTATGGACAAATCGGCGACAAAAGGGTCATGTTCGATATTTTTGACGATATTGAGGAGAAAATCGCCAACCTGAATTAACGTTTCCTTTCCGGAAATCGTATGTCCGACCTTAAATACTGTTTTGTTTTGGAATCTATGGCTCACTATACAACTTCTGGTTTACACTCGGACATGCTCTTTTTAGATTAAAGATCATTTGGACACTTGCCTATAGTTAGAAAAAGCAAGAACTCGTTGTCATTACACTATTTTGTTTTTTATACTCTGTTTCTTTCGGTTTTCTCTCTGTACTATCTTGAACTTCTTCGCTATCCCTTTTTTCTCAGTAAATGCATGCATTCATGAACGTACCTATTTCAGACCACATTCCAGCAGGTCTCAAAAACTTCCGTCTGTAAATCTTTATGGGGATTAAATTCTGATCTGTTAATTGTCGAGGTTCAGGCGATATCACATTATCGCAAAGATGTTTTTAACTACGTACGGAGTCTGGATTATAATATCTATTGTTTTCAAAATACTCACCTCACAAATAAGGTAGAAAATGAGATTAGGAATATGTGGGGATTCCAGGTTACTATAGCTCGTATACTTCAAACTCAGGAGGGGTAGCAATGCTTTTTTAGGCCACACCAATTTAATTTCTTGGTCTTCGGTTTTTTGACAGAAAAAATTGGGGCGAGCGAGCGATTTGAAAATTTTAAAATTAAAAATCTGAAATTTAAAAAAGTCGGAGCGGTGTAAAATGAAAAGAGGCGAGCGATAATATTTTATTTTTTAAAAACCTGTTTATTTCAATTCATAGTGATTCAAGTAGGAATCATACATAATTTAAATGTCCAATTCACAACACTGTATGTTATAAACCTCTTGGACAGAATATTTCCCCCCAAAGTTCTTAGGTCTCCGTGAATATTTTCACAGAATTTAAATGAAGGTTGAATAATTGAATAATGTTCATAAAAAACAGAAATATAAGGGTGTATATCATCCAGAAGATTTTCAGTACTTCAGCAATGGACACACAGGTGGAAGGTAGTGCTTTAAAGTAGTTGAAAAATAACTGTGCAGTTTGTGGCCTCCTTTACAACTATTGCTGGATCCTCTGTGTCGTCTGGTACCAGGTATACCGGTACTAATGATTCTCTTTTAAACTAATTAATAGCTTCTCCTACAACAAATTTCATTTATGAACAGACAGTCTCACAATATATCAATGTAAAATAAATTTACGCTTGTAAATATCTGAAACTGCAATTCAAACCAAAAAAAGTAATAAAACACCCCCTCTACTTACCTTTTCTATCACTGTAGAGTGTTGACAGATCTATGTTTAAACCACAAACAATGATATCTCGAACTGTCTGGGTCTTAAACACTTCCCTCAACAATCCCTGTTTTTCTATAATCTGTGTCTTGACCATACATCTATTAAATGTTTTATGAAAAGTCAGATTCAAAAAAGTTTTCACAAAGTTATGCCCTTTCAGGACAATAGAGAAAAAGAACAAAATTGAAATTTCAGTTGACATAATATCACTGCTTCTTAAGGTCATACGCAACGTAGTTTTAACTTTTTTTGGTTCTTCCCTGGAGTTGAAGAGATCCGCTAACTGAAGGATCTGTGTGAAATATTTTTAATGTCTATATATGGATTTGTACACCTCTTCTAAAACAATTTTTGATGAATTAAAATCTCGATTTTGTGTTTTATAATTTTTGTACATTTTTATTTGAATATTACAGAAATTTTCAAAATTTGATATCTTTTCAAAACCTCTGGTAAGGCATGCTAATTTTTTGTCTATGATCATGTAATTACATTTTAAGTTTAAATTTGGATTATCTTTGAAATCTTTCAGTAGGTAAGGTACGTTGCGTATGTCCTTAATTTATTAATCAAATAATAAATTATACCCATTATCAATTTCAGAAGGCTTGCTACAAACACTTCTATGTATGCTAGACAAAGCAGTTTTATGCAGTATTTTATATACATATAAAAGATGCTTTAAACAAGATTCAAAGATAATGTAAGTTTCTGAGTTATGATTAATTGAACAAACTTACTTTAAAGCGTAGTAGATATTTCTGAAACATCGATATCAGCATTGTCTGCAAAAATGAATTGGGCTTGTTGGTTTTCAAGTAAACGTATTTCAACGATCGAATCTGTCTTTCGAATAAACAGTAAACTCATTTCTTCCATTAGTTTGAAGATCGTTCCCCATGTAAGATTGATAACAGTGTTTTACATTATAACTCTTCCTTCCTGATCACTAATTTTTACCACGAGCACAGGCAGTCTTGATATATTTCTATGCTCCTTACTAGAATACAGTGACAATCTGGCGCGAAAGAATTGTGATACGATCAATGTAATTCAGAAATAGACAGGTGCGTTTTTGAAAGCCTTGATTTAAAACACAACCGTGACTTGGAATGAAAAAAATAAAAGCAAGAGTCGAAAATGATGCGGAAAACTGAACAAAATAATCCGGATGCGGGAAATTTTTTCTTAATATTATTTTTTGGAAAGTTTATAAATTACATGCGCGCGGGTCCGGCGACCAAGATATTGAATTGGTGTGGCCTTATCACATTTTGAAATTATGCATAGAAGGTCGGGAGGTTGTTTTATGCACAGCGTATGGTCCAAATACTGATACACCAAATTTTTATAAAAATATTCAAGAGTCATTGCCTTATCATAGATCTTTTGGAAAAAGGCTTTGATGGCATCTTTAAAACTTAATTCTAAACGATGAGCAACACAGAGTGAAACTATCATTTCTGGATCGCGGTTTTAGGGGTAGGGGGGTTGGCTGCTTTTCCAGGAACTGCATCGGCCCTATATTTTAACTTCAGAAACGCCGCCATTTTCTGGGTTTGTCGTGTTTCGGTAAGTTATGCATAGGATATTCGCGCATTTTACGTACTAGTTAATAACTACTAGTTAGTTCCAGTTGTTAGATACGGTACACCAACACATATTTGTTCTTTTTATTTTTATTCATAATGTTTACGCAAGTAAGACATTTTACGTATATTTTGACAATCGTACAACTTTGAAAATCGACAAGCCCATCGGACTTCTTGAATATTGATTTTAACTGACCCGACATCAAAATTCACTGGCCTTGGTTTTCGGAACAGTGAGATTTCGTGAAGACTGTTAATTTCGCATAAGCCCTTCTGGTCTCTGACCAATAGAGCTAATGAAATAGACTGACAAACAGTATTACGGATAATTAGACCCTTACATCATACAGACGATTAAAAGGAGTTTTCCACTTAAGTATAGTAGGTTGGTCCCTTTTTTCGCCCGTATTTTACAGAAAATACTTGAGGAAATGGCATTATTTTTATTTTCATGGTGTATAACAAAGTATTTCTGATTAAAATTTTTTAAAATCATTATTATTGACTTTGAATATCAAGAAATAAAAGCCAATTTTCAACACCTATCGCACATACAAATTCCGGAACATTTTCTTTCGATAAGAGTACGGTTTCTCTATTACATAAACATGGGCGGAGACATTTAAATCTGGTACTATAAAAGGAAGACATGGTTAGCTAGCGGTAGCGTGAGATAAGAAATAACAAGTTAATTGATGCAAAGCATCAAATCGGCCGCTAAGAAAACTAGCAAGTCAAAAAAGTACTTTCATAATTCAAAGCATTCATGCAAGAAAAGAACAGGATATTCAAAGCTGAAAAGTGATCATTTTCATTTCAGGCCGTCTTCAAAGCAAAATAAATAGATAAATATAATCATATTTTTTAAACTTGGTAGAAATTTTAGCATCATACCTGCTGTTCAATCCAATGCAATGGATAAAATGTATTTTAAGAAGGATATGGAAATAACGAACAGTATTCAATCTCAACGCCCATTAAACAAATACACAAAACAAGAGCAGAGCAAACACGGACCCCCGAAACATCAGAGGTGGGATCAGGTGCCATGGAGGAGTGAGCATCCCCTGCTGACCGGTCACACCCGCCGTGTGCTCGTTGTCATAATCAGGATATAACGGAAAAAATCCGTGGTCAATTCAGTGTATAAATAATGGACTAACAATTGGTATGAAAAACGTCAGTCAGCATTTCATTCAATGATAAATTGTATTTGCTGACAAGGTCATTGTATCGACCATAGAATTTACGAAATGATGACTTCAAACGAGACCGCTGATATTCTTGTTTCATCAACTTGCTTGTCAATAATTTACTTCGTTTAAGAAATTGTTCATACGTAGAGCATGCTCTTGCATATCGAATCAACTGAGATATAAATACTCCGTATGCAGGTGATGAAGGTATATTGCTGCATAAGTAAGGGAAGTTGACGATAGAAAAGTTAAAGTCATCACGTTTATCATATAGCTTGGTTTTTAGATTACCATTAGTGTCTTTTTCAAGTAAAATATCCAAGTATGAAGCAGAAGTGTCGGACTCTGTGGTATCTTTTATTTCAAGCTCACCAGGATATATCGTGTCGACGTAGGAATGGAAAATATCATTATTAATAGACAATACGTCGTCGATATATCTAAATGTCGAGTTGAAGGCCACAGCAAGTGTTTTCTTCTTTTCACGTAAAAGATTTTGCATAAATTCTGCTTCATATGAATATAAAAATAAGTTTGCTAATAACGGAGCGCAATTTGAACTAAAAATTTTAGTGCATTTGTACATCCAATGGATTTATCAATGTAAAAAAGTCTATAATGAATATACATGGGCGTCGGAAGCAAATCGAAAGGGGGCTAACTAAAAAAAAAAGGGGCGTTAAATCAACAAAAAATGGTAAAGCCCATTTTCAATGCCTATATAATGTATGACATATATTTGCAAAAAAGTGGGGAGGAGCTACCCCCCCCCCCCCCCCCCCCCCCCGGATCCGACGCCTATGATATGAGAAATTATGAGAAATTATTGTCATCAAAATGATGATGTATACTTTTCGAGATATACCACGAGCTGATACCCTGGTTATTTGTCACGTGATAATGCCTTGCAGGATAAACTGCATGGTGCGAAGCAAAATTAATGTATAAAAATCATTTTTGTGTCATTCACAGCTAAAGTATTTTCAAACAATGTTTTACTAGTAGAGCAACTTTTCAATTTTCTATTCATCGTGCACTTTCACCATGTGCACGTCATTATTATCAGGAAAATCATAACGATTTCCTTTCGTATCTCACACACTCCCTTGATGGGGAGTACCTATTGTAAACTCTTTTTATTTATCCATTAATTATCAATTATCTGATGCCAAATGGTAATGAAATTGAAATTTAAATAACAACGATTAAAACTTAATTTAAATCAAGTTTTTGAAATATTTTGCTCATGATTTTATACGTTATCATCTGAGAATTATTTTACTGAACAAATAAAATAATAACATCTCATTTCCCCATGTGCACTTTCTAACACAACCACAAATAGATCGGCCGCTGCTGTGGCCGATAATTAACAATGACCGAGTTAGAATATCATTCAATAAGCTTGAATTTTACTTGCACTATTCGTTTTCTTCTTAATTTGGCATGGGCGAGGGGCCTTCTTTTGCATGTTCTTTTGGGTATTTTTGGACTGAAAATCCCCTAATCACTTTTTTTTTATCTTGAATCTATAAATGCATCTATCGAATATATTAACCACCATTAATTTTCTTCCATAAGACAGTTTAAAAAGTAAAAGCGATCGAATAATAAATTACGGTAAATACACACAGAAATACACTTCCTTCCTTTTGTAAAGGGGGGGGGGGCTGAGAAAAAAAAAGCAATATTCCTGAAGAGAAGTTTGATAAAGCAAAAAAAAGGGTAAGCTCTTACAAACTTAAAAAAAATCGATTATGTAGGAGTGGGAATCAAACCATTACCCATTTTAATTTGAAAAATAAAACAACAATTTCAATGTATGTTTATTCATATCGCACCAGCCTAAATGCTTAAGAAATTTTTTTTTAGGGGGGGTGAAGAACTCAAGATTTATCTCTGAAATGAAGGGGTCATCACTCCCACTGATACTACATGCCTAGAATGTATATTTATTTCTTAATTTTGCTCTAAATTCCACAATGAATATTCCGATTCACTTGATATGTTTAACATATACACAGCGTGTAAAAATCGCGTAATATACATGTGCATGTTTTATCTCTTCAAAAACGGTTGTTGAAAAATAGAAACATAATCATTATGCTTCAAAAGGATTCTTAATAATAGATATCACAATATCGGTAAATGAAATTCAAACTCAGTATTCATCTAATTAGTTGCATTAATACATTCGAAGTTTTTCTGAGTTTATATGCACCCCATAAACGTGACAACAAAAGAGTAAGGTTGCTTTGAATAGTCTTTTTCGCAAAAAATTGATTAAATGTGTATTTATATACATCTACTCGTATATTATTGTGTTGATGGCAATGCCCAGGAAAACTGCAATTATAAATAAATACATGTATGAGAATAAAAATATGTCCATGAAAATCATCATTTGAAATTTAACATGAGTGCTATTCTTCGATGTCTATAAATACTTGTTTTGAACTTTAATAAATAAAAGCTGGTGACTGCACTTCTCAAATACGAGCTACATGTGTCGCTTCCTAGAGAAAACGTGCTTTCCGGAGGTATATATTCACCTGTGGCGGAATGGAATCACGTGACATATTATCTATTCTTAGCAGGTCAACAAGAGGTTAATCTTATGTAAATGTACTCACCAAACAGATTCAAAATCAGGATACTTTTAAGTAAAACACATAGAGCGCAACGTTGTTCAACAAAGATATTTTTGCACAATCTGTATAAATTTGATATACATATTATAATTCAATCTCGACTTTGAACAAATCTGCGCTCGATGTTTACGAAAGCCGAGAAGTAGGTACCTGTCACAAATTTCTTTTATTATTCATGAAAATCGAAGGACCCCACCTTCAAAACACAGCTTCGCGTGTTGTCTAGATCAATTATTTGACATTTTTTAACGTTGACGCAAATACTACAGACATGAGAGAATAATATAATTTACTCTTTAAGTTTTTTAATGAAAGTTTAAAATTTGACGAGTAACCGGGGACCACAGATAATGCCTTATGGAGACTTCTTCTTTAATGTTACTTTTTTGCCAGAAAAAGAATACAGACGATTAAGTTTTAATGTCACTTTTTTGCTACAAAAAAAATATATTTTGGGCAGCGAAAAGCCTTATTTACTAACATACTTTGGGCAGCCTCATTTACCACTGGTTGATTTGTGGGGGGGCGTGGGGGGCCCCCCTAAAATTTTCAAAGTATGATGTGACTGATATTTACAATGCCACATTTTGGTACAAAACCAAC